AAGGAAAAAAACAAGTAATCAAAACTGGAAACGAGATATTTCTCATAATTGGTCCAGAAAAGTTAAACACGTGTAAGTTTCTCATCATTCTTAGCGATATCATTTAGGAATAAAGGGGCTCTCCACAACTTCATATGAAAATATTTTCAGGGCTACTGGATCTCTATTGTTATACTAGAATCAAAAGATTTGACTTTTTTGCCAGTAAATTGAAAAAAAAAACTGTTTTAACTATGATTCATATTTTTTAATTTGTAAATAGAGGGGTGAATTTGACAACAGCATATATGCATGGGTTTTAATGGTCTCAGTTTTAATAGTAGTGCAGTTTTGCACGATGTTAATTGCCACAAGTCAAAATCAACTCAGTGGCAACTAACGCCAGCTACAACCATTGTCACAAACAAGTTTTCTTCTACAAACTTAATTTTCCTGTGATTCCTGTTGATAAAATGTGGGACTTACTATTAGTTTTTTATTTGACACAGGAAGAAATTTCAAAAGAGAGTGTTGTGAACGGTATTGACTTTTAAAAATACCAGTTCTTTGAGTTGTTATTATTAAATTATGGTACATTAAAAGCTAAGTAGACCTATAGTGCTATTGGTTTACTTTTCTTAAGTTCATATTCTATCATATTGAATGACTCTTGATCAGATTGATTATTTCATGGGGATATATATATGTGTATAATTGTAAATTTGAAATAATTGTAGATGAGTTTTATGTATCATGCAAACATACTTTAATTTTTTTCTCCTGCAAATTTATATGGCAATGTTCTATATGGAAATATACTCTTGGTTATTATAGTGAAAAATGTCACTCTATTAGAATAAGAGAAGTTTAGCTGTTGCTGGTTTACAGTTTATTGTTAAAATGGGATTTTCTTTCTTTGAATACTTACGATTTATATGATGTAATGTTATATATGCATATTTTTATGTATATGTAAATTATATAAGATACAAACACATATATATTTATATACCCTTTTTTTATAGGTGTCTCAAAGGCCATCTTTATCGAGCTTAGAAACCTTAATGGTGTCACAGAAATCTGAAATTGAGTATTTACAGGAGAAACTGAAAATAGCAAACGAAAAGCTCTCAGAAAACAGATTTACCAACAAAGGTTTTTCAGGAGGCATTGTAGCAAATGCTGAAGGAAAACATAAGGTAGAGACATTTTTTCATTTTGTGAATTTGTCAGAAGGAGGCTGGCAAGGCAAGAGATGGGGAAAGTTAAACAACAAAAAAGCAACATTTACTTCTGTGCTTATAATTCTGGAAGCTTTTTAAAAAGCATTACGTGCCAAATGCTTGATGAAATAACTGTTGGGCGTACAAAGCTTTTACTTGTAAAGACTGAGTAATATCTTCCTAATTTAATTAATTATATTATTAGTAGCAATATACCTATTGTGCCAGTAAACTACTCTGCTTATATAAAAATACTTTGGTAAGTTTCCCTCATTTATCTGATAAATTAATCTTTCTGATAAAATTCACTTTAAAATGATATTAGTCATTAACTCAATTTTTTAAATTTTAATTAGAAGCAAAATATGTCCTAATGTTCTCTATTTTGTTTAGATATAACATTTACAATAATATGGAATATAAAAAGTAAGTGGATTTTAACATTAATTTGTGCACTTACAATAAAATTTCATAGATTTTAAGGGATAGCAATAGAGAATACTAAGCAAATTTTGTGTAACATGTTTCCCATGTATTAACATTGTCATAGCTTTTCCTTTTGTAATATTCATTACATATTTGTATTATGCTGCAAAAGATTCTACAGAAGGTTGACTAATATAAAAATTGCATATCACATTGTAAGTATGTTATTTCTAGATAAACTGGAATAACATTTCCCTAAAAGTAAGGAATTTTAGACATATTTTTCTCACAACTAGTCATATCAGCAGTAGAAGAATAATGCTTTTTAAAGTAAAAAACCGTATTTTAAAGATAATTGTTTTAAGTTTTTGCCACTTTTTCCTATGAATAGAACAAACTGTCTTAATAGAAGAAGCATTTAAAATTAGACCCAGGTTTCTGTGGTACTTTTATTTACTCCCTCTAATATTAGTTTTCAGAGGAAAGAGACTTTTTTTCCCCTTTTAAAAAACCGTAAGTATATTATTAGTTTCTTGCCATTTTGGAGTAGTTTCACAAACATTGAGCTTTGTCTAGATAAAAGAAAACATTGCTAAAATTGACATACAATATTATAGGGCCTTGTTTTATTACCTGCTGTATTGCTGAAGTTTAAAAATACAGTGCTTTGATGGTTCATTGCTTTTAATAAAAGTCAAGAAAATGAGAGGGAATATTTTGAACAAAATTTTTAGTTCCTTTTTGTAAGGACATGCAGTAAGTATGAGCAATATGTTGCCTAGCTTAATAGTTGCTTTCACATATTCCTTCTCCAGATTGGTATATGAAGCTGTACATAATATAAACACACATTCTTGTCTCTAGTTAGCCACATTATAGTTAATGACCATATGGTTATTATGGTATAAGATCTACTGTCTGTTGTATTTATATTCCTCAAGCATATTGTTCCTTCAACTTCACAGTGTGTTAAACTGTTTCAAAGGGAAAAAAAATCCTTTCCCTCTTGCTTCTGGTTGTCCTATCAAGTGTAACCTTGGACCCTTATAGAGCAATTAGACCAGCCTCTATCCCCTCCTTTGTAATGAGGTTTCTTGCATTTCTGAGTCTATAACCCTTTAGTCTTCCCTAATGGGACATCATTATTCTGAAAGAAACAATGTAAATGTAAATGAATATTCTCATTAACGAGTCACAGAGAAACCTTTAGCGGTAGCACTGTGGTAATTCCGCTTGTTATTTCTCTGGTATTCCAGGCAGGATTTTTTTTTTTAATAATTCATTATTAGTATTCAGAATTACTTGTTCTTTAGTTTTGCATGTCTTTCATAATCCAGTGTTCCGACTAGTTCAACTATGTCCTTGTTTTATTCTCGAGGAACCACCTGTGAAACGTTCAAGGTCTTTGTCACCAAAGAGCTCTTTCACAGACTCAGAGTTGCTAAGGAAGCTGAGGAAAGCTGAAAGAAAGATTGAAAACTTAGAGAAGACCCTACAACTAAAGGTGAATATTAAAACATTAATTTAGCAGTAACCTTGCAAAGATAAAGATTTACCAAAGTAAACATGCATTCACAAATTACTGTTGATCATTTATTGTCAGTGAACTGAATTGCCAGTATAAAGGTGTCTAATCAGTTGGTCTTGTTTTTAAGATTTCTGAGGAGCATAAAGTGATAAAAAAAAAATTTGCTACATGAAAACAAAGTGCTTATTCAATACTTGAAAATTATTTAGAAATAGTTTGGCCTAAAATTGGGAGTACATTTTTTATAATTTTTCTGAGATTCCCCCCAACCCCCTCAAAAAAAAAAGACTTAGAGTAAGTAGAAAGAGAATTTCTTGTGGTTCTTTATATGTGATAAAGACATAAAAATAAAAGTTAAAAACTATATTAAACTAGTTCAGGTAATTTATAATTATCCTTTATAGATATAATACATAACCAAAATGCAAAAATATATATAATGCTTTTCTATTTCAATTGACTATGTCTCAGAACACATAACATGTGAATCAGCACTCTACCATTATTCTAGAAGCATATCCTCTACCAGCCCATTTTTGAGAGCATGTACTTCCTGAGTCATACTGTGTGGATTCTCTTTCTCAGAGGGAATTGTTCAGCATATGGAACCAATTTTATGACTATATTGAGGGTTTTAATTTTTTCCTGACTTTAATATGGCTAAATTTTTCATTCACTGCTATCTGAAGCCCTGTACTGTTTGAAGTTCAGTCATATAATTGAATGTTAAGTAGTTATGTGACATTCCACAAGCCCAACACTTTACATGTGTTTGGAATACAGTACATTTAAAGTTTATACTCTTTCCCACATTATATAGATTACTCTTAAGTATAAAAATATTTGATTTAGGTTATGCGTGTTCTAGAACAAAATATGGTTTAGATCATAGTTAACCATAAGCTACAATTAGTTTTATCTGCATTTTCACTGAACATGGGGTTAATTCATGCTTATTCTGAGTTAAACTGTTATTTCTAAAATATAAGAAAGTTATCATCTATTGTTTCTACCAAAAATCTAATGACCAGATGGTCAAAGGTTACTTGCATTTAACCTACTTGAAATTTGTAAGGAATTTAAATACATATCTGAGTTTTTCCACTCATTTATTTGTTTACTCAGTAACAATTTACTGTGCATTATAATTAGCCAGGCATTGTGCTTATCACTTGCTGTATAATAGGCGACAAGGCTTGTTTCTATTCTTCAAGACCCTTTCTCTAGTTAAGAAGATCTGGAGAAGTTACAATCCAAGGAGCCCTAGTTGTGCAGTGGTAAAGTGCTAGGCTGCTAACTGAAAGATGGGTGGTTTCAACCCACCCTGTGGCTTCACGGGAGAAAAGACCTGTTGATATGCTGCCATAAAGAAAACAGCCCAGGAAACCTAACAACAGTTAGAATCCAGTGTATTAAATGTTAAAATGGGGATTGTTGTCATGTGCCGTTAATTCTATTCTGACTCACAGTGACCCTGTATGATGGAGTAGAACTGCTCCACAGGGTTTCCTAGGCTGTAATCTTCATGGAAACAGATCACCAGGTCCAAGCCACTGATGAGTTCTCCCGCAGAGCTACTGGTGAGTTTGAACAGCCAACCTTTCAGTTAGCAGATGACTGTTTAACCATCGCGACACCAGGGATCCTTAAAAAATGGGGTAAGCACAGGATTATGGACATGTTTAGGAGGCCAGTCTATTGTCTTTCTCCTTTTCCATAGTTCTTGGAATTTGCATACCAAGGCTTCTGTCCCATTCAAAAGCAGAGAATCATCAGCCATTTGCTATCAGAGACCTGTGTCTTTAACAGTCCCTTATTTTTCATAGAAGGAGTAGAACCATTCGAAAGATATGTTTAGATCTGTTCTCTTCTACCTCCTTAATTTCTTGATTCAAAAAGAGTCTTGTAAGGATCGTACTAATTCTTTCCCTTACTCTTTGTTTCCTAACAACATCTTTAGGGGGTAAGGCCCTAAATTTATTTTCAGTGTAAAATTGTTTTTACGCAAAATTTCTTTTCCATTTATAGTTTTTCTGTATTCGTATTTCAGATCAACTGGTGATAATCATGACTTTCAAATATACGTTTTAATAAACATATTTGCAAGATGAGGAAAAACTGGGAGCAAATTTTTTCTCCTTGCATTTTATCATTTAGTAGGAAAGTATTTCTTATTTTAAAAGAGCAAGGTGATTGAATGCAAAACCTACTATGACCAAGAACATTTAACGAAAGAAGTAGGTAAACAAAACCTTACAGCAAAGCAGTCCCAAGGGGAATGATTAGGCCTATGGTACTTTTTATTTTATTGTTGTTGTTGTTAAGTGCCATCAAGTCGCTTTCAACTCACAGCAACCCTGTATACAACAGAATGAAGCACTGCC